TTAACTACAAGCTAAACTATTTTAAAATAGGGCCCTAAAGTCAGACTGATGCTATTAGCAAAGACCAATATCTACTTAAGGTTTTTAATTACATAGGCAGGCCATAGATTATGCAGTTTACCCATGGTGGAAGCAAAGAAAACTGCTTGATTCCCCTATCAACACAGTGTTGATGGGGGAATCCCTCCTGGACCGTCTTTTCCTTAATTGCTTAGGACCGGTTAATGGGGTTTATGAAGGGCTAAATCATTAGAAAATGGTTGGAAAAAGGGCACTGTGTTTGCATGTGTGCAGTGTGTGGGACTCCAGAGTATAGATCATGAGTGGAGAAAATGGTTGTTACAGCTTTCTCCAGATTTTGGTATTCCTGGATTGGGCTCCGTAGTTTGGCGATTTCAGTGTCTTGGGGGGGGGGGGGGGGGGAAGAAATCTTCAACTCTGTGTCTAGATTTTGGTGAAAACCAGCAGGGTGTGTGTCCCGGTGCACACAGCCATTGCTGCTGTTTGGAGAGACAGCCCTGTCAGGAGACCTGGTTGTTCCTATCAGAGACTGCATCCCTTGTGTGGGGGACTTCTTGTCCAAAGGATCGAGCGTTGCAACAGCTACGCAGGCCAGGGAGATCAAGAGAGGATCTGGGGGTTGAAAAAACAAAGGCGGCTAGTGGGTCCAGGGGGCAGAATAAAGTCTGGAAGTCTCGGAGAGCAAACCTAAGGAGGCTGGTGAACCGTATTTTGGAGGCCAGGCGCGAGGTACTGCAACTAAGGCTAAGGGAGCCTGAGGAAATGTGGTCAGACAGACCATTGCTAACAGTGGTGGAGCTGCTGAATGTAGCCAGGTGGGCTAGCATTTCTTGTTAACTAATACTTTGTGAAGCTGAAGCCCCTGCGCGGGAAACCTTGAAAAGACTATGGGTTTGATTTACTAAAACTGGAGAGTGCAAAATCTGGTGCAGCTCTGTATTGAAACCAACCAGCTTCCAGGTTTTATTGTCAAAGCTTAATTGAACAAGCTGAAGTTAGAAACTGATTGGCTGCCATGCACAGCTGAACCACATTCCGAGTGCTCCAGTTTTACTAAATCAACCCCTTTGTTTTTTCATTTAAATAAATGTGGGCCGACAAGCCTTTAACAGCCATTTCGGACTAGCATGGACTCACTTAAAAAAAAAAACCCTCACATCTACCACTGAGCTAAACACCCCCCAAGATTACAGAGTGTATTGATAATTGTTTGGAATGTGGCTACATGTTTTTTAATTATAGGAGATGCAGTCCTTGTGTACCCTCCTTGGGGGGAGTATAGGATCCATCTAACGATGCCTTTACAGACAGAATTCAATCTGAGTCTAACCTGTGATGCAACCTGGTGAATTTTAACATAAGGGTATCCTGGTGTTCCTAAATTGGTTTTGGGGTTGCCCAGACCTCATTGTCATCACAGTATGCAAGCAAAAATTAGGTGTATTCTACAGTAGGTGGAGTGATAAGGGATCTTAGTTTTAAAATAATCTTTAGAAAACTGAAATTCAGTGAAATTCTCCAGAACCTTTATTTGTTAACCAGCCCTTGGTATAGTTCTGTTGGTAGAGTGGAACTCATTCAGTAACATTCTAGAGAGTTCTGGACTTCTGCATCCCTTCTTGGAACATCAGCACCTTGTACCTCGTAATTTATCATTTCGGGATTTTCTGCCTCCACCTTTAGAGCAGAATATTTTCTCCATGGTAAAAACTGGAACCTTGGAGACATACCCTATAGATTTATTCTGTTCCTATTGACTCAGTAGAATAGGAAGCATTTTCTTCTTCATGGCTGTGGTGGTAAGCAGATAAAGAGGAACATGAGGAACAGAAGTATTTGAACACCCTGCAATTTTGCAAGTTCTCCCACTTAGAAATCATGGGGGGTCTGAAATTCACATTGTAGGTGCATTCCCACTCAGAGACAGAAATTTTAAAAAAATTCAGGAAATCACATTTTATGATTTTTAAAGAATTTATTTGTCTTGCACTGCTGAACTTAAGTATTTGAACACCTGAGAAAATCAGTGTTAATATTTGGTACAGAAGCCTTTGTTTGCAATTACAGAGGTCAAACGTTTCCTGTAGTTCTTGACCAGGTTTGCACACACTGCAACAGGGATTTTGGCCCACTCCTCCACACTGATCTCCTCTAGATCTGTCAGGTTTTGGGGCTGTCGCTGAGCAACACGGAGTTTCAGCTCCCTCCAAAGATGTTCTATTGGATTTAGGTCTGGAGACTGGCTAGGCCACTCCAGAACCTTGATATGCTTCTTACGGAGCCACTCCTTTGTTATCCTGGCTGTGTGCTTCGGGTCGTTGTCATGTTGGACTACCCAGCCACAACCCATCTTCAATACTCTGACTAAGGGAAGGAGGTTGTTGCTCAAAATCTCACAATAAATGGCCCCATTCATTCTCTCCTTAATACAGTGCAGTCGTCCTGTCCCCTTCACAAAAAAGCACCCCCCCAAAGCATGATGTTACCACCCCCATGCTTCACAGTAGGGATGGTGTTCTTGGGATGCAACTCATCCTTTTTCCTCCAAACACGACGAGTGAAGTTTAGACCAAAAAGTTCTACTTTGGTCTCATCTGACCACATGACGGGCCTGGACATGTGATGACTTGAGCAGGGGAACCTTCCGTGCAATGCATGATTTGAAACCATGACGGCGTAGTGTTCAACCGACAGTGACCTTTGAAACTGTGGTCCCAGCTCTCTTCATGTCATTGACCAGCTCCTCCCTGACCAGTTCTGGGCTGATTCCTCACCTTCCTTATCAGTGATACCCCACGAGGTGAGATCTTGCATGGAGCCCCAGTCCGAGGGAGACTGACAGTCGTCTTTAGCCTCTTCCATCTTCTAACAATTGCTCCAACAGTTGATCTATTTTCACCAAGCTGCTTGGCAATTGCCCCCTAGCCCTTCCAGCCTTGTGGAGATCCACAATTTTGTCTCTGGTGTCTTTTGACAGCTCTTTGGTCTTGCCCATGGTAGTAGTTGGTGTGTGACTGACTGTGGGGGTGGACAGGTGTCTTTACAGAGCTCAGACAGGTGCTACTAAGTTAGATTAATGAGTGGAGTAGAGGTGGACTTTTTAAAGGCACAGTAACAGGTCTTTGAGAGCCAGAATTCTTGCTGTTTCTTAGGTGTTCAAATACTTATGTTCAGCAGTGCAAGACAAATACATTCTTTAAAAATCATACAATGTGATTTCCTGAATTTTTTTTTTTTGAAATTCTGTCACTCAGAGTGGGAATGCACCTACAATGTGAATTTCAGACCCCTCCATGATTTCCAAGTGGGAGAACTTGCAAAATTGCAGGGTGTTCAAATACTTCTGTTCCTCACTGTATTTCATGACTGTCTATCCTCACTTAAAGCAGAGGTCCAGTCAAAATAAAAAAAACATAAAAGTCAGCAGCTACAAAAACTGTAGCTGATTTTTTTTAAAAAACAGACAGACACTCTCCTGTCTCTCGATCCTGTACGTCTTCACAACGGCCGGGTTCCTCGGCAGTCTTCTCTCCCTAGCGATGCCATCTTCAGTGTGGGCACCGGGTGTGACATCTTGCGTTCTGTAGTCTTCTGGGACCTGTCACGTGTCCCAGAAGACTACGGGGAGGGAGTGTTGGGGAGGGCAACGTCTGTTTCTGATCGCCTACTCCCCTTAACAGGGAGTGGGGAATGAAGCCTTAAAGCGGAACTTCTGACTTTGGGTAGAGCTCCGCTTTAAGTTAATCCCTGAAGGTCTGATTGTCACATTCACACTGTGGATTTTTATCATATCACTGACTATCTTTTATTTACTTCTCATTTAGTATTAGGAGAGACAAACAAAACACTCAGTGGGAGCTTTAACTTGAACTGGGATGAAAGTATTAAAATCTGCTTGCATTGTGTTGTCATTCCAACTAATCATTCCCCTCATTATTATATTGATCTGCACACACTGCATTGTAAGATAGCTGAAATGTTTCAAGGATAAATTAACCATTAAAACCATGATATTGGTTTCTTTTGTGCTCATCTCTCCCCCAATTACACAGTTGCTACTATCGTAGTTGTCATATTCAAACATATAGCAATATGCTAACTATATGAAGCCTTGTTCACAGCAAATCTCACCAACAGTGTGCTAAAACCCATTGGCCATTTACATTTCAAGCCCTTGCTTTATTTAAAAAAAAAAAAAAAAAAAAAACACTAACCAGTGCCTGTAATACATAGAAAAAGAAAACAGAAGTTACAATCAAATATTGATGAAGTCCATGTTTGTCATGTTGCCATGAGGTCATGTTCAGTACTGATATAAACAGAGATTCAATTTTATGAGCATTTACTAAGTTTTACTAAGCAACTAGGAAGGAAAAGAATGGGGGGACCAAGGACCTTTGCACACTTTTTTCGTGGACATGTTTAACTAATAAAAGGAAGGTACAGTATGTATGCATTTTTACTGCCTGTGCAGGCTAGATTTTCAAGAACAGCAAGATTATCCTACGTTTTGTATACAGTAACTAGAAACAGAGATGAAAACTTAATTGGAGATCATTGTACCTTTATTGCAACCACTTGCTAATTATAAATGGAAGAGATACTTTTGACAGCCAATCTTTATTTAAATGGATTTAGGCCAGAAACAAACATATAAAACTTATTCCGAAGCATAATATAAAGCTTCTTAGAAATAATACAGACGATTGTGCTGTATGACAAATTAAACAGTAAACAATGTACAGTATAATATACAAAGATTACAAACAAGGCACATATAAAAACAGAAAAGCTTACATACACACAATCTATCCATGGGAAGATGCAAATACAGACATTAAGACCTAGGAATAATAAACTTCATATTTAATGATGCCTTGATTTTTCTTTTTTCCTATTTTCTGTAGACAGAAAACCTCAAACATTCAATCTCCTGGCTCCACTGTTGTCCTTTCTGAAAATGCATACTTTTAGGATGTTTAATCCCTTAGAAAGGTCTGTAAAAAAAGTAATTGTAAAAAAAAATAGCCAATTCATTCTACAGTATATCAGACAATAACAAAGGCAAGTAGAATAACGTCATTAGAAAATAAACATAAGTATTAACTGTGCAGCAGTTTTTTGGTAAAGTTGAACCATGCCTTTAAGCTCTCGTTCACACTACATGCAAATTAGAAATTGTGCGACCTCACTTGAAGTTGCATGTTCTCAAAGTCCCATGTCAATGCAACTTGCAAACACCTGTGCAACTTCATGCACAGATGTCTATGCAAGTCCAATCCAAAATTGAGAAAAGTAGTGCAGGAACTACTTTTCAAATCGGTGCAACTCCGACGAAGTCGCACTGATTAGAACGGTTCCATTGCCGATTACTGGATGCGATTTGAACAGTCAAATCACATGACAAGTCGCATTACTGTGAACCAGGGATAACTGTCATACAATACCTTCACAATGTCCAGGGATGTTGCATCTCTTGGATAAGGTTTTCCACAACGATTTAGACATTCTATTACAAGTTCAGCAGCATCTTCTAAACTAAAAGAAAAACCCCTCATAAACAATATAATTTAAAAATTTCACTTAAGCTTTAAACAATGACTATATGTTCGAAATGAAAGAGCACATTTCTTACTGAAGGTACACAAAGACCTGATCACAACAGCTTCACAAAAGTAGCCCCTGCCAGAAACTAACATTTTCGCTCTCTCCTTGGGCCATCTCTAATCAACTAGTGGACCTCTCCTCCAATGTTTAGACCAGGGGTGTCCAACCTTTTGACCTTCCTGGACCACACTGGAAGAAGAATGGTCTTGCACCACAAATAAAATACACTAACAATAAGGGCAAATGGGTGCTTGATCTACAGCTGCAGCACTGTCACAACATATTCCAAAACAGAGGATCGGTAACTATGTAAATGCTCATTAAAATCTTTTATTCCAGCATTCCAAAGAAAATCACAACCTTACAATAGATGTAACATCTCTGTATCTAAGGCTGTGTTTTCTTTGGAATGTTTCAATAAAAGACTTTAATGAGCATATACATATAGTTGCCAATTCTCTGTTTTGGCAACGCAAATCTGAGAGGGCAACCTTAGCACCCCCTAGATCCAGCCATGTGGCATTTACTTCCCTGGTACTAGCGGGAGTCCCTGCATCTGCTGCTGCTGGTACTATTGCAAATACAGCAACCCGGCATTCCTCCAGACAGTATCTTTGCTGAGGAGAGCTGGATGTCCGGAATGTCATCAAATCTGTGTCCTTTTAAGGCCTTTCTTAAATTTTGTAACCAGCCAAAAGCCGCAAGATGCTAGGTAAGGGGACTAAGGTGGTTGGTCAAGTTTCAGGATGGATTTCTGGGCCAAGAACTCACAAACACTTAACGTGTCATATGTAGGAGCATTGTCATGGTGAATCTACTTGTCAGGCCAGAGTTCAAGTCTGTTACTCTGTTATTTGGAAATTCTGAAAATTTCAATGTTGGTTAACGGTGTACCATGTTCTTTAACTTCTTGCCGACCGCACATAGCCGAATGACGGCTTCACCGCGGCCGGCCAGTTCTGAGTGGACGTCATATGACGTCCTCCCAGAACGCGCTCTCCTGCGCGCCCCAGGGGGCGCGCACCCGGCGATCTCCGTGATCGCTGTGTCCTACGGACACAGCTGATCACGTGATGTGGTGAAAGGCCGATCCCACCGGCCTTTTACCACGTGATCAGCGGTGTCCAATGACACGCTGATCACAGGGAAATGCAAGTGCCGGTTCTCGGCTGCACTTTCCTCACGCTGTCAGATCGTGAGGAAAGTACTGCCGAGAACCGGCAGTTTGTCAGAGCGGGGGATCGGCACCGATCATCAGGGCACTGATGATCAGTGCCCTGAATGATCGGTGCCCAGCAGTGACACCCGCAAGTTCCGCCCAGCAGTGCGCCCACTAGCCCCGCCCACCCGTTCCCAGCAGTGCCCCCACCTGTGCCCAGCAGTGCCCCCACCTGTGCCACTCTGCAGTGCCACCTACCTGTGCCCAGAAGTGCCACCTACATGTGCCCAGCAGTGCCACCCACCTGTGCCCACCCACCAGTGCCCACCCACCAGTGCCACCCACCAGTCTGTGCCCACCCACCAGTGCCACCCACCAGTGCAGCCCAGCAGTGCTGCCAGTCAGTGCCACCAGTCAGTGCCCAGGGGTTGTGCCAGTCAGTGCCGTCTATCAGTACCCATCATCAGTGTCACCTATCAGTGCCGCCTATCAGTGCTGCATATCAGTGCCGCCTATCCGTGACCCCTAATTAGTGCTGTCTATCAGTGCCGCCTATCCGTGCCACCTCATTAGTACTGCCTATTAGTGCCCTTTAGTGCTGCCTATCAGTGCCCATCAGTGCCGCCTATCAGTGCCCATCAGTGCCGCCTCATCAACGCAAATCAGTGAAGGAGAAAAAAATACCTGTTTGAAAAATTTTATAAAAGAAACAAACTTTTTTTTTTTTTTCAAATTTTTTGCACTTTTTTTTTAATTTTATAGCGCAAAAAGTAAAGCGCCCAGTGGCGATTAAATACCACCAAAAGAAAGCTCTATTTGTGAGAAAAAAATGATCAAAATTTCATATGGGTACAATGTTGCATGACCGCGCAATTGTCAATCAAAGTGCGGCAGCGCTGAAAGCTGAAAATTGGCCTGGTAAGGAAGGGGGTATAAGTGCCTGGTAGGCAAGTGGTTAAAACTCGTAGTGAACTATTCCCTTGTGATAAAAAAGAAAAAAAAAAAAAACCACACCAGTATGGTTTTGAACGGAGAGAAATATGCATGCTTTCTGCGGGAGAGGTGAATTCTTTGTTTTCCACTGCATACTCTGGTGTTTTGTTTCAGGATCATACTGGAAACACCATGTTTCATCACTGGTAATAACATTATGAAACACCTCTGCATTCTTCAAAAGATTGCATGAAATTTAAAGAGAATGTTTTTTCTGATCTTCTGTCAAGATTCAATGCACCATCTTTGTGGAAAGCTTTCTCATTCCCAAATCCTCTGTTAGAATCTGCTGCACTGTTTCCCTGTTCATGTTCACTTCTTCTGCCATCGTTTGCACAATCACTCTTCGATCTGAGAGTACAAGGGTTTGCACTCTGTCCACATTTGCATCCATCCTTTGTGTTTTTGGCTGCACTCTTTTTTCTTTGTTTCCTTGGGTCACTGTGGACATCTTCTTGCCCTTACTTACACCACCTATGCCATTCAAAAACACTATTTCTTCATGTAAAGTATTACTCGCACTTTTGCCATTTTTCATGCAAAATTTTATGTTAATCCGGCAATTAATTTTATGTCCTATGGCTTCAGTTTATACCAATGCACTGCATTGCTGTGAAAAAAGTAGGACATTTGCAATGCCCTGCACACATTAGAATTACATGCAGCTGGGAAAAACGCAAGCAGTGAATGATAACTGCCACAGGTTCTTGTGCTCTCAACCTGGCTGGTATCATAATTGATCATATGTGAAGTATGGTGGAATCTGCAGATCAAACAGAGGCTAAGATGGCAGTTTCCTTGGCTGTAAAAAGGATGGGGGATTTAGTTCCACTTTAACTTGTACAAGCTGGTGCGAATGAGCTCCTATACTCTTTGCTATCACCACTGAGAATGAATTATTTGACAGTACATGCAGCTAAAGTGGGCAGAGATGGCTTGTTTTAAAGGATAAGTTCACCTTTTTCCCCATATAAATTCCAGCTCCCCTATGTACCAATATAGCATTAATGTACTTCTTTTGTAGAAATTCAAAAGTTTTCCATTTTTTCTACACACCTTTATGTCAGTGTCCAGATGGCTGTATAAAGAAAGCTTCTCTATCACTTCTGCCTTAATTCCTGCAGCAACTTTAGGTCATGACATAGGAAGGAATTGACCAGCTGACACCATTAGCACACACCCTGCATCATCTACCGTCCTACCTACCACCCACATGCAGGTGCACAACTATCAAATGAAATGCAATCAATCAGCGATCACTGTTCTCGCTAAACACACAGGCATCCATTTTTTTCGTTTCTACCCTAACTTTCATCTTGCACAAATCATTAATTTGGCAGTATGTGCTGAGATATCAGATAACAGCCTATGTGGATAGAACTGTAGAATTGAAAACAGGAACCAACAACAGTGTAAAAAATCTTCTAAAGACTGTAGAGCACTGTGTCAACCTTCAAGCTTGCAAATTCATGTTGATACAGAAAGGAAGGCAGAGCATAAGAGCAGCATTAGCTGCTTTCCTCAGGAGAGCAAATAGGATTTATGACAGGGACTGTGGATATGTAATTTTTCCTGGTGTCTCTCCATGTCAGTACTAATGCATATGGCTCCATCCCCCTGACCCTTGGACAGCCCTCCAATGAAGTAATAAAGGCTTTCCTCACCCATGCAGGTGCATTTTTTTTTTTTTGTCCTCTGCGAAGACCCAGGAGGCTCACACGCACAATTCTTCAAAAAACTCCCTTTTATCCCAGTTCAGCCTCTCCCAGGATGAAGGGGCAGGTATCACTCATAATCAGGACATTATCTGGCCCACCTGTGTAGCTACATACACTACAGCTTGTACCATTTTCATTTTGGGCTTGGCAATATAGGTGTGCATTCATAATAAGCTGCTTTCTTATTGAGCTTAGCAGTAAAGGCTTGTGCAATTTTTCCTGGTTCACCTTCCTCCCTTCTAAGCTGGGTTGACAGGAAACTACATAACTTCCAACACATTCAGCCCCCCGGATGCCCTTTGGCGACCATTTTCAGCAAAGAATGACTTCTGACCTCTGGAATGCATGATGCATTCGGCAGCCATTTTCTTGTGGCCAACATTCTTTTATGGGTCTGACCAGAGTCAGTGCTCTCTGAGTCGAAGGGGAGTCATCTTGCCTAACCTAATCTTTTTAGGCCCAGTTCAATGAATATGGTGGTGTCTGCCACCTCTGGTACAAGTTTGCTCATTTTTGGTCTGCTGTTCACTTCTGCAGCCTAGGGCGAGTCTGGCTTTTATAGTATTACCATTTTGTTCTACCTAGCTGCTTTCTCCATATTTGGTATAGATTTTTATTGCTGTCGAATACCTTTCATTTCTGGTACTTCTGCTATGTATCACTAGTTTTATTTGTACCACAACACTTCATTTGGTGTAGGTTACAGGAATATTTACATTCATCTGTGCTCATTGATTGTTCTGCTGCTGCTTTGTTTTTTAGCGGTTACATGTCTGCCCAGATTTGTCTTAATCACTATGAATGTGCCCACACCCAAGTGCTACCAATAGCAATAGCCTTGTCACTTTTGTTTTGGCCTCTAAAAGAGTGCGACCATCATTTATCCTCTACTAGTATTTATTGGTCTAATACAGGTGAATCTCAAAATTAGAATATGATCAAAAAGTTCATTTATTTCAGTAATTCGATTCAAAAACTGAAACTCATATTATATAGATTCATTACAAACAGAGTGATATATTTCAAGCATTTCTTTTAATTTTGATGATTATGGCTTACAG